TCAAAAGAGTGCTGGAGTAGCCATACTTATATCAGACAAACTAGACTTTAAATTAAAGGCTGTAACAAGAGATAAAGAAGGGCATTATATAATAATCACAGGGTCTATCCATCAGGAAGAGCTAACAATTATAAATATCTATGTGCCGAACGGGTGCCCCCAAATATATAAAACAATTACTCACAAACATAAGCAACCTTATTGATAAGAATTGCAGGGGACTTTAACACTCCACTTACAGAAATGGATAGATCATCTAGACACATGGTCAATAAAGAAACAAGGACCCTGAATGATGCATTGGATCAGATGGACTTGACAGATATATTTAGAACTCTGCATCCCAAAGCAACAGAATATACTTCCTTCTCGAGTGCACATGGAACATTCTCCAAGATAGATCACATACTGGGTCACAAAACAGCCCTTCATAAGTATACAAGAATTGAAATTATACCATGCATACTTTCAGACCACAATGCTATGAAGCTTGAAATCAACTACAGGAAAAAGTCTGGAAAACCTCCAAAAGCCTGGAGGTTAAAGAACACCCTACTAAAGAATGAGTGGGTCAACTAGGCAATTACAGAAGAAATTTTAAAAAATATGGAAACAAATGAAAATGAAAAAAAAAATCCAAACACTTTGGGATGCAGCAAAGGCAGTCTTGAGAGGAAAATACAGTGCAATCCAGGCCTATCTCAAGAAACAAGAAAAATCCCAAATACAAAATCTAACAGCACACCTAAAGGAAATAGAGCAGAACAGCAAAGACAGCCTAAACCCAGCAGAAGAAGAGAAATAATAAAGATCAGAGCAGAAATAAACAATATAGAATCCAAAAAAACTGTAGAGCAGATCAACGAAACCAGGAGTTGGTTTGTTGAAAAAATAAACAAAATTGATAAACCTCTAGCCAGGCTTCTCAAAAAGAAAAGGGAGAGGACCCAAATAGATAAAATCATGAATGAAAATGGAATTATTACAACCAATCCTTCAGAGATACAAACAATTATCAAGGAATATTATGAAAAACTATATGCCTACAAACTGGACAACCTGGAAGCAATGGACAAATTCCTAAACACCCACACTCTTCCAAAACTCAATCTGGAGGAAATAGAAAGCTTGAACAGACCCATAACCAGTGAAGAAATTGAATCAGTCATCAAAAATCTCCCAACAAATAAGAGTCCAGGACCAGATGGCTTCCCAGGGCAGTTCTACCAGACGTTTAAAGCAGAGATAATACCTATCCTTCTCAAGCTATTCCAAAAAATAGAAAGGGAAGGAAAACTTCCAGACTCATTCTATGAAGCCAGTATTCCTTTGATTCCTAAACCAGACAGAGACCCAGTAAAAAAAGAGAACTACAGGCCAATATCCCTGATGAATATGGATGCCAAAATTCTCAATAAGATACTAGCAAATCGAATTCAACAGCTTATAAAAAGAATTATTCACCATGATCAAGTGGGATTCATTCCTGGGATGCAGGGCTGGTTCAACATTCGCAAATCAATCAACATGATACATCACATTAATAAAAGTAAAGATAAGAATCATATGATCCTGTCAATCGATGCAGAAAAGGCAGTTGACAAAATTCAGCAAACTTTCTTAATAGAAACTCTCGAGAAAGTCGGGATAGAAGGAACATACTTAAAGATCATAAAAGCCATTTATGAAAAGCCCACAGCTAACATCATCCTCAATGGGGAAAAACTGAGAGCTTTTTCCCTGAGATCAGGAACGCGACAGGGATGTCCACTCTCACTGCTGTTGTTTAACATAGTGTTGGAAGTGCTAGCATCAGCAATTAGACAACAAAAGGAAATCAAAGGCATCAAAATTGGCAAAGATGAAGTCAAGCTTTCACTTTTTGCAGATGACATGATATTATACATGGAAAATCCGATAGACTCCACCAAAAGTCTGCTAGAACTGATACATGAATTCAGCAAAGTTGCAGGATACAAAATCAATGTACAGAAATCGGTTGCATTCTTATACACTAACAATGAAGCAACAGAAAGACAAATAAAGAAACTGATCCCATTCACAATTACACCAAGAAGCATAAAATACCTAGGGTTAAATCTAACCAAAGATGTAAAAGATCTGTATGTGAAAACTATAAAAAGCTTATGAAGGAAATTGAAGAAGATACAAAGAAATGGAAAAACATTCCATGCTCATGGATTGGAAGAATAAATATTGTCAAAATGTCAATACTACCCAAAGCTATCTACACATTCAATGCAATCCCAATCAAAATTGCACCAGCATTCTTCTCAAAACTAGAACAAGCAATCCTAAAATTCATATGGAACCACAAAAGGCCCTGAATAGCCAAAGTAATTTTGAAGAAGAAGACCAAAGCAGGAGGCATCACAATCCCAGACTTTAGCCTCGACTACAAAGCTGTAATCATCAAGACAGTATGGTATTGGCACAAAAACAGACACATAGACCAATGGAATAGAATAGAAACCCCAGAACTAGACCCACAAACGTATGGCCAACTAATCTTTGACAAAGCAGGAAAGAACATCCAATGGAAAAAATTTGTTAAAGAGACAAATGGTGCTGGGAGAACTGAATAGCAACATGCAGAAGATTGAAACTAGACCACTTTCTCACACCATTCACAAAAATAAACTCAAAATGGACAAAGGACCTGAATGTGAGACAGGAAACCATCAAAACCCTAGAGGAGAAAGCAGGAAAAGACCTCTCTGACCTCAGCCGTAGCAATTTCTTACTTGACACATCCCCAAAGGCAAGGGAATTCAAAGCAAAAATGAACTACTGGGACCTTATGAAGATAAAAAGCTTCTGCACAGCAAAGGAAACAACAAACAAAACTAAAAGGCAACCAATGGAATGGGAAAAGATATTTGCAAATGACATATTGGACAAAGGGCTAGTATCCAAAATCTATAAAGAGCTCACCAAACTCCACACCCGAAAAACAAATAACCCAGTGAAGAAATGGGCAGAAAACATGAATAGACACTTCTCTAAAGAAGACATCCGGATGGCCAACAGGCACATGAAAAGATGCTCAATGTCGCTCCTCATCAGGGAAATACAAATCAAAACCACACTCAGATATCACCTCACGCCAGTCAGAATGGCCAAAATGAACAAATCAGGAGACTATAGATGCTGGAGAGGATGTGGAGCAATGGGAACCCTCTTGCACTGTTGGTGGGAATGCAAACTGGTACAGCCACTCTGGAAAACAGTATGGAGGTTCCTCAAAAAGTTAAAAAATAGACCTACCTTATGACCCAGCAATAGCACAGCTAGGAATTTACCCAAGGGATACAGGAGTACTGATGCATAGGGGCACTTGTACCCCAATGTTTATAGCAGCACTCTCAACAATAGCCAAATTATGGAAAGAGCCTAAATGTCCATCAACTGATGAATGGATAAAGAAATTGTGGTTTATATACACAGTGGAGTAATACATGGCAATGAGAAAGAATGAAATCTGGCCCTTTGTAGCAACATGGATGGAACTGGAGAGTGTGATGCTAAGTGAAATAAGCCATACAGAGAAAGACAGATACCATATGTTTTCACTCTTATGTGGATCCTGAGAAACTTAACAGAAACCCATGGGGGAGGGGTAGGAAAAAAAAAAGAGGTTAGAGTGGGAGAGAGCCCAAGCATAAGAGACTCTTAAAAACTGAGAACAAACTGAGGGTTGATGGGGGATGGGAGGGAGGGGAGGGTGGGTGATGGGTATTGAGGAGGGCACCTATTGGGATGAGCACTGGGTGTTGTATGGAAACCAATTTGACAATGAATTTCATATATTGGAAAAAAAAAAAACCTGGGTGGGTTTAGGCACACTTTTTCTGGTATATGTTTCCAGGAACTGAATGTAATTCCCAAGGGATTTCCACATAGAGGGATATTCTCTGCCACATTATGGTGGCAGATGGATGCTCTCTAAGTCAACAAAGTCTTGGGAATGGCTATAGTCACTGGACCTGAGGCCCAAGAGCCTCACGTGAAGGTCCAGCTTCCCTTCTAGAGGTCTCCATGACTACATATTCAGAGGTGGGAAACTTGAGAAGAGAATTGTGGGAAGTGAAAAACACAGCATCATCTGTGGCCAAAGACAGCTTCCTGGTCTGAGCAGCAAAGGAGGTGCTCTCCCAGGACAGACTCAGGACAGAGAATACGAGTGGAGTCCTGGGAGAACCACCCCTGCCTAACTGCTGGACAGAGGCCAGGCTTCCTGAACTGGGAAGTGAGGTGAGAAGGAGATACAAGAGGAAGACTCATAATGGAAGAACTGGCCACTATGTTGTGTCATATCATGAAATTTAAATTAAGAAAGGGCAGAGAGACTGACAAGTGTCCAAAAAGCAATGATGAGTAAACATGGCCCTGTGCTAAGGACAGGGAGTGGGGAGGAAGGTGGGCTGCCTGCTAAAGGTTTGGGTCTGAGTGAGGAGTCCATTGATGAGGGGCAAGTCAAGAAGCCAAGATCAAATTCACAGGCACAGAAAGTAGAACAGGGATTGATGGAGATTCGGGTGGAGGGGGGCATATATATGAGGAATCATTGTTTGATCAGCGTGGAGTTAGTTTACTCTGGAATGATGAAAACTGTTCTGGAATGAGTGGTAGAGATGTTTGCAGCGTAATGACAATGGCTAAATGCCACTGACTGCATACTTAATGGTAAAAATGGCAAATTTTATGTAATGGATATTTTACCACAATTTAAAGGAGAATCCCAAGAATCCTTCACAAGAATCTTTTTTAATTTTTTTATTTACATTTATTTTTGATAGAGACAGAGCACCAGTGGGGGAGGGGCAGAGATAGAAGGAGACATAGAATCCGAAGCAGTCTCCAGGCTCTAAGCTGTCAGCACAGAACCCAAAGTGAGGCTCGAACTCACGAACTGCAAGATCATGAACTGAGCTGAAGTCAGACGCTTAACCGGCTGAGCCACCCAGATGTCCCAAGAATTTTTAAACACAGGCAGCATTGAAGAGCAATTTATGTGCCACCATCAGGTGGAATACAGGGAGACACTAGGGGTTTCCTTTATGGTTGGAGACTTTGTAGAACCAGTGGCTTCTCAAATACCCATCAAGGATGCACCCCCATCAAGCCTTCTTCAGCTTCCTGGCCCCACACAACCACCTGGCCACCATGCCCAGCAGCTTCCCGCAGAGCCACAGGGTGCCCAGGGTGACCACCAGCAGGAACAAGAAGACGTCCAGCAGGTATTGCTCATGCCACGGCTGCTGCAGGGCATGGGGCTTGAGGTGGGCCGCACCCCCTGTCTGGAGGATGTGGTCGATCCAGCCCACCAGCCTCTGGGCAGGGGTCAGGGGGTGGGAGCGCCTGATGATGCTGGCGGCCACCGCTGCTGACTTGTACCTGTTGGCAGACACAGAGGCGGGGCATTACTCCTTTGGCCTCAAAAGACTTAGAGACAACGTATCACACACACATTCTTTCCTCCATGTGCACAGAAGACTCAGTTTCAAGGAAAAGTGCTGGCCTGGTCTGTAGGGGATAAGCTTAGGAATCCCCTGGGCTTACACCAATGCGTTAACAAGGCATAAAGAAATACAACGTCCTAAAATGCTCACACCCGAGTTTCAGTAAACCAGATTGGCACTCCAAAAATAGGGGGTGCAAAGACACCCCAAGAAAAGGGAGGCAGAAAGGTGCCAGAAATAGGGAGGTGCAAAGGCAAAATAGAGAGGGGGTGCAGAGCCTCCAAAATAGAAAGGGAGAGGCAAAGGCCTGAAATAGAAACAGCACACAGGTGCCCAATACATAGGTATATGAAATAACCAAGATTAGATGTTCAGGGTGGAAGCACCCCCAGTTTAGTACTATAGCAGAAAAGCTGCTTTCACAGGAGAATGGGGCCAGGTTAGGTAAATTGGTGAATTGGACTATGGACCACTGTGCTGCAGGCGAAGCAGCCCAGAGTGAAGATAGTTAACAAAAGAAAAGATGCCTTATTAACCCTGAGGTTATTTCCCCTATCTGTCTCATCCTCTAGGCTAGCTAAGATAAACAGGCATGGTGCCTCCTGTCTGCTGTTAACAACCATCTACCCATCTGCCCAGCACCCAGATTTTGTTTTATATTGACCCAAACCCCAAACACTGTATATCTTCAAAACTTCCTTTTTCCCCTACGTCCAAAAGTTAATGTTCACAGTTTCTTTGTCTTTCTGTGTACACCCATCACATTTGCAAGCCTTCTAATCTGAATAAATATGGGACAAGGACCCTTATTTGGGGCTCTTGTCTTTTTCCCGGACATTAGCCATCTCTCACTTTAATCCTGCGTATGCTCTTTTGCTGGAAAAAAAAGAACTTTAGACTTAGAGTCTACACCACTGGTCTTGCCACAGTCTAGCTGGGTCACATTGAAAAGTTCAAACTGGTGCCTTCATGCAAAGATCCATGCCTAGGGCCAAAAAGTGCTAAACTATAAAACAGTGATTAAGCTGTAAGGAAAAGTCTCTTCCCAGGAGGCTTATGCTACACTAAAGGAAAAAGCACGTAAGAATATATGTGGTGTAACATACCCCTGACTCAGGGTAGATGTCCTGAAGATGCTAATAAGATATTCCACCCATCCTCGTTATCAGATCATTGTGCTGGATGGGGATTTACATAAGACATCATGGGTCCTTCTACCGACTCACTTAACAGAAATTTATCTCAACCTACTTTGTGGCAGGCCTTGTGCTAGGCCCGGTGAGCTCAGGGGAAAAAACAGACACACTTGGCCATCCAAGGGGGCTTACTCTCTACTTTCTAATATGAGGGACCCACAATAAAGCAAAAACAGAAAGAAATGAGGTAGTTACCTATCCTGAGAAGTGTTAAGAAGAAAAAACAAATTACAATTGAAGGGGGTGAGAGAGGAGTGCATTTAGGACTGTCAGACAAAGACCACTTCTCTGAGGAGAGGACATTGAAGATGAGCCCAATGGCCATGAAGGAACCAGTCCTGAGAAGAGAAGGAAGGATGCTCTAGGGAGCAGCACTGACAAAGGGCCTGAGGCTGGAAAAACAGTGTGGCATATTGGGGGACAAAAAGGAGACCTCCTGCCTCAGTGAAATTCTACTATAAGCAGCATCAAAATATAACACCTCTCTGAGACCCAGCGTAAATAGATCAGAGTCTTTGCAATACTTAATGGTAGAAAATTGTTCTCAGCATCTAACCTAAATACCTAGTCTTACTCTCAGAGGAAACAGATCAGGTATTAGTATCATACGCATATCATTGTCTGTCCCTAAAGTTTTGCCTTTTTGCAAAAGTGTGCCACACAGTACCCATCGTATTTCATATCTTCTTTTAGTCTCAATGACAAGTTCAGAGAGCTGCATACCTCTTGTCTTCTATGACTTCCTTCATCTTCAGAGCCAATGGCTCTGCCTTGATCTGCTTTAACTGGATAGAGACACCAAACTTCTTGGCTTCTACTCGGACCATGTTTTCAGGCTGGTCTCCAAGGACTGGAATCCCCACGATGGGCACACCATATTGGATGGCCTCCATTATGCTATTCAACCCACCATGGGTGACAAAAAGACGGATGCGTGGGTGAGCTGTTGTAAATCAGGAATATTTCAGCATGAAAACTTTCAGAACACCAGGGAAAGCATCAGGGCAGAGGAAAATACCAAGGGATTTCAAGGTATGGTGGAGAAAATAGATTTACTGATCCAGCTTTGAACACACTCAAGGGTGCATATTCCAAGATAGAAGATTCTGGCCTTGTCTGTGTACAGAGATTCCTCTAAGTCAATCCATCTAAGACTCAGAGCCAAGGGAAAGCTGCAGAGAACAGTGTTAAGCAAGGCATATTCCTCCTCCCAACTATCCATCTACCTATCCATCCATCCATCCATTCTTCTCTCTACCCTGTTTCTCTCTTTGCTTTTCTTATGTCTGCTCTCTTTGTGTCTCCTTCTGTCTCTTTTATGTCTCTCATTCTCCACGTCTCACCCTCTCTCCTTCACTGCCCATTATTTTCCTCTTATTGAAGTCTTAATACTTTCATTGTCATCGCATCTCACCTGGCATTCCTCAAACATACACTCTATGTGCTTTCTCCTCAATTTAATAAGAAATCCTCTAAAGTAGGGCGTGATGGACCACCCATCTCAGTATTTCCAGTTCCTGTGTGCTACTCTACTCTTTTTTAGAGAAAACCAAAACAAGTGTTGATAATGAAGAGTTCATCTCAAACAGTGCCTCTCAACAGGGATGTGCATCAGAATCTATTGGTGTTTCCTTGAAAATCAGAATCCTTTTTAGTCCATGCCTTGTGAAAAAAAAATATGCAGAACACTCTATCTTAAGTTCCCAATATGTTTGTGAGCCTTGGGGTGAATAATCTTGGGGTGAACCTCTGAGGTATTCAGTTGTGGTGGCAGCTAGGGTGCTCAAAAAACTGGCACAAGGACAAAGAAAACATTGGGGTGTCAGGAACTATTATCAGACAATTTTATGGACCAAATGACTGGCTGACAGGTTACTCACCTTGACAGTCAGATATTTTGGCACACCCTTCAGACACCATCAACATCAATTTTTTGAAAGTATGACTATACCTTTTGTAGCATAGGAGAATGTGCTAACGTGTGTGTGTGTGGGGGGGGTGTGTCTGTAATGGCAGGTGGCCTAACAGGTTCTCAAGGGCCCAGGAAAAGCAATGACAAGAAGACCCCTGATGTGTGTTCTCAAAGTTCACAAGCCATCTTTGATTAGGTTTGGATAACTTTCTTCAGTGCAAATATGTTAGGGTTAAAATAACCTGACAAAAATATCACTTCTGACTGAAAATAGCAGGACTAGAATAGAAAGTAAGAAACAAACATGGCACTTTTAACCATTTTGGCTGTATATCCTGATTTCCCAAGGACTCCAGTTGACTGCTCCATTCCTGTCCTCTAAACATTACTTTAGCAACCAACCGTCCCTTCTCATGGTGATGGAGTTGCCCCGTGGAGCCCTAAAGAGGCATAAATAGAAAAAGAGAAATAGATCTGGTCAGTCCTTACCCAAGAGGTCATTCTGAGGAAGCCAGTCCACGATTTTCACATTTGCTGCCAATTTGACGTCTTTGGGCCACTTAGAAGGCTTACAGTTCCATATCACCCCTTGGGAGAGATGAGCAAAGGCACTGTTCATCTCCATGAGAACTTCCTGGGACTGATAGGTGCTCACCATGGAGCCCATGGCCACAAGGACAAAACCAGAGTCTCCAAACTTGCTGATGAAATTCTCAAATTCCTGGAGAGAGGTAAGAAAGGAAAGGATGTGAACAAAGTTGTTCATGAAAACCTAGATGTGAAATGTTTATAAAATCATTTCATAAAGTGAAAGTCAACTATTAACAGAATGCACCATCCTGTCAGTACCTAGAGCTCACTGTCTTGAAACTGTACTCATAGGTCTGAGGACAGCTCAGTGCACTCTACAGTGTGCTTATATCCATTGTGTCCAGTGGCCTTGAGGTCATTTTTCTGAGACCTCAGGACACTCCATACCATACAAATACTTTCAATAATCACAAAAGGATATGAAGAGAGTCTTAAGAGTCCAGCCAGTATCACAATAGTCTATATTGCACGTAGGACACTTAACACATACTTCAGCACCAATATCTAGATTCAGAATATCTATATTGCAATGTTTTAAGAAGAGGAAGGCAGAGGTCGTTGAAACTTCTCTTTTTTTTGTTAAGAACATGGCCCCAGAAACAGGGTCATCCTCATCCTTCATCCTTGTCTGTACAGATACGGCGTTTAGGAGTGTTCTAATGACAGACCAGAGGTGCTATTGCCTAGGTGAGTGCCAGTTGCTGTCCTGGACAAGTAGGGGGCAGTAGGCATTCTGGAGGCTGAGGTAGATGCTGGGGAAATATCTGTCATTTGTCTCCTTCATATGCTTATGAGCCATCTGTTGTCTTCATTGTTGACTTCTGGTAAAGTGTTTGGCCCATTTAAAAATTTTTAATTGATTTTTTATTGTTATTATGAGTTTTAAGAGTTCTTTGTATGTTTGTATATATGGTTGTATATTTGCGTGTATTACATTTTGAATAATAGTCTTTATCAGGTATACCTATGCAAATATTTACTCTTGGTCTGAGTCTCCTCCTTTTATTCCACAACAGGTATGTTGCAGAACAGAAATTTTTAAAATCAATTTGGCCCCCTTCTCAACTCTATCATAGAACATGACTTGGGTTTTATATGTAAAAAGTAATCACCAACCAAAAGGTCGTCTGTTTTTTCCTATGTCACCTCATATGAATTTCATACTTTTGCATTTTATATTCAGGTCTGTGACCTACTTTGTGTTAATTTTTTTGAAGACATACGATCTGTGTCCATTCATTGAAAGACTATCTTCTTTTCGTGGTATTTCTTAAAGCTTTGTCAGAGATCATTTGACTACATTTGTGTGGGTCTATGTGTACTCTCTTCTATTACATTGATCTATTTATCTGTTCTTTTGCTTATAGGACACTTTCTTGATTACTTTAGCCATTTCATAAGTCATGGAGATGACTAATGTCAGTTTTCCAACTTAGTTCTTCATCTTCAACATTGTGTTGGCCCTTCAGGGTTTTCCTCTCCATGCAAATCTGAGCATCAGCTTATCAATATCCACAATTGATAATTTGCTGTGATTTTCAGTAGGATCTCACGGAATCTATAGATCCAATTGGAGATAACTAACACCTAGCAATAGTGAGTCTTCCTACCCATAAATATGGAGTATCTCTCCATTTATTTAGCTCTTTGATTTCTTCCATCAGCATTTTGTAGTTTTCTCCATATAAATCTTGTACATGTTTTGTTAGTATTTATTCCCAAGATTTCATATTCAGTGGTGAAATATAAATAGTAGAGTGGTTTCAATTTCACATCCTCCTGTTCATTGCTGATATATAAGAAAAATATGGATTTTTTATATTAAACTAGTATGCTTTGATGTTACTATAATTGCTTGCTAGTTCCAGAAATATTTTGCTTGACCTTTCAGATTTTTTAAATAGACCATCATGTCACTGTGAGCAAGAACAGTTTTAACTCTTCCTGCCTAATCTACATGATTGCTATTCCTTTTTCTTTCTCCTACTACTTTCTTAGGACCTCCAAGATGAGGATGAAAAGCAGTAAGAGAGTACACTTTCCTGGTACCTGTGAGGTTGTCCTTTCATTTTCTATAAAATGTCCCCTTTAATTAAAAGCTTCTGGAGAAGCTTTTAATTCTGATGAAATCGAATTTACCTATTTTTTTCTTTTGTTATTCATTCTTTCAATGTCACATCTACAAATTCATTGCCAAGTCCAAGTCCACGCAATTTAGCCCTTTCTTTTCTTCTAAGAACTTTTTGGCTTTTAGCTCTTTATTTAGGCCATTGATCCATTTTGAGTTGATTTTCGTATATGGTGTGAGGAAGGCTTGGAATATATTCTCTTTCATGGGAATGAATATCCAGTGGTTTCAGCACCATTTGCTGAAGAGACTGTTCTCTCCACTGATTGCTCTTGGCACCCTTGTCACAAATGAATTGGTCACAGATGTGTGTCATTGAACACTGTTCTTTTCATGTTGATTTGGCTATTTGCATTCCATTACGTTTCAATGTGAGATGAAGACTGGCTTTTCCATTTCTGCAAAAAAGAAAAAAAAAGTAATAATAAGGCCACTCAAATGTTGATAAGGCTTAGGTAAAACTTGTAGATCACTTTGAGTAGTATTGCTCTCTTAACAATATTAAGTATCACAATTCATGGTCTTGAGATGTCTTTCCATTTATTTAGGTATTCCTTAATTTCTTTCAGCAAATTTGTAGTGTCCAGTGTATGTGTCTCTCGCCTCCTCAGTTTAATTAGGTGTTGTTGTAAATAGAATAATTTGCTTGTTTCATTTTCAGATTGTTCATAGCCAGTGTATGAAAACACAAGTTGTATGAATTCACTGGGATTTTCTCTATACAAGATTATGTCATATGAATATCAAACCATTTCTACATTGTCCATTCCAATTTGGATGCCTTTTATTTCTTTTTCTTGCCTACTTGCTTTGTGTAGGGTATATTTGAATAGCGGTGATGTAAGCGGGCATCTTAGACTACCGATCTGAGGCAGCAGGATTTCAGTCTATCCCATAGAGTATGATGTTAAAGCTGTCAGTGTTCCATAAATACTCTTTATTGTGTTCAAAAAAACCTCTTTACTCCTAGCTTTGTGACTGTTGTTATCATGAAAGGACATTAGTTTTGTCAAATATTTTTTCTGCATCTCTTGAAATGATTAGCTTTTTTTAAAATCCTCTTCATTCTATAGATGTGTTGCATTATGCTGATTGATTTTGTTACATTAGACGAGTTATAAAATACCTTTTATATCCTGTAAAAGGTTTGACATTGGTCTATTTTGTCTGATTTTAATTAGCACATAGCCACCTTAGATGATTCTTAAAGAAGTTCATGACCTAACACCCTAAAAATTAGTTTCATATCCTTTGTCAATCTTCCTTCCTCTACATTTGTTGACTGTCTCCAGCTTACCTCGTTGTACCATTCTGGCCCTTCTTAACTCCATCCAGCACAACACTATAAAAACTATCATCCCAAAGGACCAGTAAAAACCAGCTTTGTTGTCACTTGACATTTATAAGATCAGTGTAAATCTATAATTTAAAATTGGCAAAGGCAGAGCACGACATCATAATAAGAAGCTGAGTACTCCCAGCTCCCCACAGAAAAAAAAAAAAAAAAAGGACAAAAAAGGCTAAAGACTCACTCAGATAATTTTATACGACTTGGGAAAATAGTCAGTGATATACCGAAACCAAACAGATGCCCATTCAGGAAGAAAAAAACACACACACTCAGAATGGTGAGAATTTCCATGGCAATTTTACTCTTCTGGCCCCACACTCTTCCTGAAGTGGCATGCCATGGTCCAGAGGCAGCAGTGGTAGCCCTGCCTTCTGTAAGAGGAGAAGAAATGAAATAATTTGCAACATTGTAGCCACTCTGTAGGCTCCCAGGTGACAAGTTAAGATCTCACCAGGCTCAGAGCTCTGACTGGAAATGGCAATATAGCTCAGATATCAGGTTGGTGGGAGTCTTGCAAGGCAATAGAGGGCACAATGTCATGTAAAACCTGCAGCGATACGGCAGAATTTAGAATCTTGGGGCAAGAGAAACAAAACATCTATGTCCCTGAACAGAATCTGGGTAAGACTCTTTGGGAACTTAAGACATTAAAATTGGCCACGTATACAGGAAGAACCAGATGAATGAATGCATACACAAAGGTCCAGACAGGAAAAATGCTCAGAAAATACCTAAGGAGACTTTAAGTTGTCTGCCCTGGCTTATCCAAAGTATTAAACATTCCCCACTAACTAGTGAAGGTGTTCCATGGCAGCCTGCAAACACAACTAGAGGTGACTGGGTTTACAAATGCCCACAATTTTCTACAAAAGATCACAAGACATATTAAAAAAAAGAGAGAGACTAAAAGCCAAAATGTGTCATTTAAAGGAATGAAATAAATCTCCAGGAACCCTCTTTGAAGAAACAGACATTGGATTTACTAAACAAAGACTTTTAAATTGACCAAATATGCACAAAAAGTAAAAAAAAAAAAAGTGGACAAAGGTCTAAAGGAAATCGGGAAGACAATATATGAACAAATAGAGAATAATAGCAAGAAGAGACAAATTATTTTTCAAAAAAGGCAAAAATTCAAAACAAAAAATATAATCACTGAATTGAAAAATTCACTAGGGTAGTTCAATGCAGAGCAAAATAGACAGAAGAAAGACTTAGTACACTTGAAGACAGGACATCTAAAATGTCAAGTCTAAAGAGAAAAAAGTAGAAAGGGCGAGTGTAAGGGACTCACAGGACCCCTTTGTGTAGATTAATATATGCATTATGGAGTTCTCAAGAGCATGAGAGAGGAAAGAATAGAAAGATTGCACCAAGAAATAATGGCACATAACAAGATATAATATGCAGACAATCCTAAGTTTCCTCTCTCACACACACAAAAAAATGTGTCATGACTAATATAGAAATTTAGGAAAGTAGCAAGAAATAAAATAGGCTCAGAATATCCATTGCATTACATTAATAATGACCATTTCAAGAAGGAGATTGGAAAAACAATTTCATTCACAATACAATCCAAAGAATAAAAAAATAGGAATAAATTTAACCAAGGAGGTAACTATATTGAACTATGTTGAAAACTATAAGACACTGTTGAAGGAAATTAAGAAGACACAAATAAGTGGAAACAAAATTCAGGTTTCATGGATTAGAAGACTTATACTTTAAAGATGCCAGTACTTCCCAAGGTGATCCACAGGTACCATGCATCTCTATCAATAGTGAACAACATTTGCTTCTGGCAGAAATAGTAACCTATCATAAGCTGATGTGGAATTTCAAAAACAATGAGTACCCAAAACAATGTGGAAAAAGGAACAGGGTTGGAAGTCCCACATTCCCTGATACCAGAGTTACTACAAAGCTACAGTAATCAAAATAGTGTAGTATGACAAAAAAGATAGATATGTAGATCAATAAGATAAAATAGAAAGTTCAGAAATACCCCAGGTATATTTGGTCAAATAACTTTTGACAAAGGTTCTAGACCATTCATTAGGTAAAAGATAGTCTTTTCAGCAAGTGATATTGGAAAACTGGATATCCACATGCAAAAAAACTGAAAGTCAACCATTACATTATACCATATGGTAAATCAACTTAAAATGGATGACAGACCTAAAAATCTGAGCTATACATATACGACTCTTAAAAGAAAATAGACAAATCTTCATGTAAGTGTATTGGGTAGTAATTTCTCATAAAAGACACCAACAGCACAGGCAACATAATAAAAAATTACATCAAAAAGAAAAATTTTGTGTATCAAAGGTCACTATCAACACAGTGAAAGGGCAACCCAGGGAATGGGTGAAATATTTGCAAGTCATATCTGATAAGAGATTATAGAAAGAACTACTCTATACAAAAAACAAACATGATTCATAAATGGGCAAAGACTTGAACAGATATTGAACAGATATTGAACAAAGAAGAGATACAAACTGCCAATAAGGTTAGAAAATGGTAAACCTCACTAATCAGGAAAATTCTTATCTAACCACAGTGAGACACCACTTCCCATCCATTAGGATGGTGAGTAATAAAATTTTTAAAAACAAAAAACAAAAAAAAAAAACAAAAAAAAACAAAAAAACCCACAAAAATATAAAATTACAAGTGTTTGTGAAGATGTGGAGAAATTAGAGTCCTTATGCATTGTTAGTGGAAAGGTAATCTGGTGCAGCCACTGTGAATGACTGCATGGCAGTTTCTCAAAAACATAAATATACAATTATCATATGCTCCAGAAACTCCATTTCTTGGCATATTCCCAAAAGAATCAAAAGCAAGGACTCAAAAGCAAATATTTGTGAACACTACTGTTCATAGCATTATTCACAATAGCCAAAATTGGGAGTAACCAGGGTGTCTATGGACAGAAGAATACATAAAAAATATGGTATATACATATAGTGAAATACTACTCAGCTTTAAAATTCAGGGGCACCTGGGTGGCTCAGTCAGTTAAGCGTTGGACTTTTGATTTCAGCTCAGGTAATGATCTCACAGTTCATGAGATTGGGCCCCACATGGGCCTTACACTGACAGTGAAGAGACAGCTTGGGATTATCTCTCTCTGCCCTCCATCTCTACCCCCCCCCCCAAATAAATAAACATTTTAAAAAGAAAAGAAATTTGGACACATGCTACAACATGCACGAATCTTGAAAACATTATGCAAAGTGAAACAAGGCACCACAGAAGAACAAATATTGTATGATTCCACCCGTATAATGCACCTAGAGTAGTGAAATTCATAAAGACAACATGAGAATAGTGGTTGCCAAGGTCTGGATGCAGAGAGGAAATAATGAGTCACTATCGAGTGGGTATGAAGTTTCCGTTTGGGAAGAGGAAAATGTTCTAAAGATGGATGCAGGTGATGGTTGCACAACAATGTGAATGTTCTTAATGCCCCTGACTATACCCTTCAAGATGGCTAAAGTGGTAAAATTTATTATGTTTATTTGATCTCAATAGAAAAAAGTAGGAAAGGAGAGAAGAAAAATCGTTCAAAGCAAGCATCTGTTATCTCATGGATTATACACTTTAACTTCCATTATTCTCTTCCTTAATAACTCCTGTCTCACTTCCAAGACCTGACCCACCATCATGTCAGGTAAGGCCTGTGTTTTGGCCTAGTTTTATTTGTATAATTGAATCTTCAGCTACACTGGTCTGGCCAGTATCACCAAGAGAACCCAGCCTCATGGCCATCTTACTTATACCTCCACACATGGGGCCACCTGTTCTTTCAACCTGGTGTATCTTCCTTCCCAGTTCTGTTTCTTAAGAAATGCCACCATGAACCAAAGTCCATTTTGCCCATGAATCATTCCCCAACTTTTTCTGTTCACTCAGTGCAAGATCAGTAGGGGAAGGTTAGAGATTTTGGTGCCTAGGTCAGATCTGGGCTTTTGCTGCTCTGAGCTAAATGGTACTGGGAATAATATGTATATCACATGAATGTCTGTCCTCTCATTTATAAAATTGGAGATCATCACAGTTCTCTCAAGGTGGCATGACATACAATATATGAGATAATGTCCATACAATAGCACCCAAGTACCTACCTACAGGCAACAGGCAGCCACTAATCTTAGCTCTCCACATTTTTCAAAACTTCTAGAGCAGTAGTTCTGAGTTCAGGCTCTCCCTTCAGACCACCTGGGTAGCATGTAAATATTACATTACCTAGACCCAATCCAAGATCAATCAAATCAGAAAATCTAGGCTGAGTCAGGAACCAGGCCTTTATAGGAAGGAGACATTACAGATTATGCCTGCAGGTCTTGCCAGTCACACCCAATCCTGCCTCATTACATTATGTCTCAGTTTTTTTACATTTCATCATGGATAACTAATCTCCTTTAAAATCCTTAACTGCGGTGTCCTCTCACTACATAATTATTCTATATATGATCATAAAAAGTAGAAATTAAAATATCAACTTATTGAAGCATTTTTACCAGCAAGGCTAGGATGAGGGTAAGACATAGGAAGAGCTTAGGGCCATTATTTAAGGAGGTTTGCAATATCAAAGCCATGTACCTAACAGTACTTCCATGACCTTTATAGCAAGGACTTCCTTGAAAGTGGACCCTGGGATCAACAAGATGACAGAGTAAGAAGCTCTGGATGCTCCTTCACCTGAAAAACATGCTAATTCAGCAATATTTCATGGTCAAATTCCCTTGTAAGGAATCCAGAAACTAAATGAAAGAGTACTGCACCCAAGGCAAATGTGTAACCAGTCTCACCAAATCCAGTGAATAGTTATGAAAACACCCTCTCACCAGAATCCCTAACCAGGTCATGTGGATAGCTACATGAACAAGAATAAAATTGGACCCCTACCTTACACCACACAAAAACTCAAATGGATTAAAAATTTAAACATTAAACCGGAGGGTGTGGCTCAGTTGGTTGAGCATCTGACTTCTGTTCAGGTCATGATTTCACAGTTAGTGTGTTTGAACCCCATATCAGGCTCACTGCTGTCAGCATAGAGCCCACTTGAGATACTCTGTCCCCCTGCCTCTGCCCCTTCCCCACCAGACCTGAAACTGTGAAGCTCATAGAAGAAAACAGGGCAAAAACTTCATGCTATTGGTCTTGGCAATGAGTTCAATGATAAAGCACAAGCAACAGAAACAAAATTAACTCAATAAACAAAAATAAGTGAGACTATATTAAACTAAAAAGTTTCTGCACAGCAGAAGAAACAATCAACAGAGTAAAGAGACATTTACAAATGGAAGATATTTGCAAACCATATTCCTAATAAGAGATTAATCTCTGGGGGCGCCTGGGTCACTCAGTTGGTTAAACGTCTGACTCTTGATCTTGGCTCAGGTCATGATCTCACAGTTCATGAGTTAAGCCCCACATCGGGCTCTGTAGCTATCAGCATGGAGCCTGCCTGGGATTCTCTCCCTCTCTCTCTCTGCCCCTCCCCAGCTTGGCTGTCTCTGTCTCTTTAAAATAAATAAATAAACTTTAAAAAAAAGAGAGAGAAAGAGAGAGATTAATCTCTAGAATGTATAGGAAAGGACTAAAACTCAATAGCAAAAAAAAAAAAAAAAAAAACTTATAACCTCAGTAAAAAATAGGCTAAGGACTTGAATAGACACTTATCCAAACACAACATACAAATCGCCAGCAGATATATGAAAAAATTCTCAACCACTAGTAATCAGGGACGTGCAAATCAAAGCCACAGTAACGTATCGCTTTATACCTGTCAGTATGGTTATTATAAAAGAAATAAAAGACAACAAATGTTAAGCATATGGAGACATTGCAACCCTTGCATACTGCTTTTGGGAATGCAAAATGGTGCAGACACTATAGAAAACAGTATGCACATTCTTCAAAAAAAAAAAAAAATAGAACTAGCACATGAACCAACAATTCCATTTCTGTGTATATACACATGAGAATGCAAATCAGAATCCCAGAGAGATAGCTGTATTCCCATAATCACTGGAGCACTATTCACAATAGCCACAATGTTGAAACAATCTAAATGTCCATCAAAAGATGAATGGTTAAAGAAATTATACACACACACACACACACACACACACACACACACGTGGAATTCTATTTAGTCTTTAAAGAAGGAAATTTGGGAGCACCTGGGTGGCTCAGTCAGTTAAGCATCAGACTTTTGATACTGGCTCAGATCACGATCTCATGGTTGGTGAGATGGAGCCCTGCATCAGACTCTGCACTGACAGCGGGGAACATCCTTGGATCCTCTCTCTTGCACTCTCTCTCCCTCTCCACCTCCCACTCTCTGTCTCTCAAAATAAGTAAACTTTAAAAAAGAAATAGAGAAGGAAATTTTCCAATATATAAAAACATGAATGCATTTTGAGGTCATTATGCTAAGTGACATAAGCCAGTCACAGAAAAGCAAACATTGCAGGATTTCACTTATATGAAGCATCTACAATAGTCAAGTTCATAGAATAAAAAGTGGAAATTGCATTCTCATGTGTATATCAGGGGTTGTGATAAAGAGAAAAAAGGTAGTTAATATTTAATGGAGGAAGAGTTATAAAGTTAAATGAGATCAATAAGATCTACAGGTCTGAGGCACAATATGGTATCTACTGACAATAATTCATATTATACTTTCAAAAATTTCTTAAATTTAAAATACAATACAATACAGTACAATACAATACAATAAACTAGAAAAATTTGTTTGTCTCATCCTACTTCACTCCCAATTTCCACTGGCAAGGGAGCCACCAACTCTACACTGAAGAGCTCTACATGAAGTCCCTATTGAGTGCTAAGGTTTCACTTACTTGTGGTACTGGCTTAACAGGTCTGGCCATTAAGCCTCCAACATACACAGTGTTGGGAAGCAGGGGCCTAGCAAATTCAAGGGCAAAGTCAGAGTTAACAAACCATAGCTCTGCTTTCTTTAGAAGATGAGACAAAACCGGCCTAGAGCCTTCCGGGAAATGTTCCTTGATGGTGTTGTCAAATGTAGACTGGATTCGCCATTGCCTTAAGAAGAAATCCAAGAACATCAGAAAATTCCTCACTCTTCCCCAGAAGTCCATGTCGTCGGTTAGCAAGGAATGGAATACCGGAACATAAGACACCGGGTTTGGTAGCCCAAGGTCCACACTGCCAAATGGGGTGGGAAGAATTGACACAAATGGCTTCCCAAGCTTCTCAGCAACCAGGAAAGAACAGAAGTCAAATGCTTCAACAAATACCAGGTCAAAGTTCTCATTTTTTAAAGAATCCATGATATCACTTCTCCTTAGCAAATCACTGCATTGAATCCCCAATTGTTCCATTAACTTTACAAAGGTGTCAAATGCTTCTCTGTTAAAAACAAAACAAAAAACAACAACAAAACAGTAATGACAAATATTCATTGAAGGTGGCAATTTCACAATATATAGGAGAATCTTTGGTTCAAAGAAAATATCCCAAGTAAGTAAGACCATATTGGCAGCTGCCCACCTATTTTACCAGTCTCCAATGAACACTCTGCTCTAGTCACTTGGTTCTGGGGTTTCTGCTTCCTAAAATGTTCTCACTTCATTCCCTCCCTTTTCTCCAGTGATCACATCCACCCCATCCAGGCCAATTCAAGAGCCATCCAGTTTGGGAGCCATCTCTGACTGTAGCAGACGTCACAGTTCCATGTCTACTTGACACATTCTGTGATGCTCTTTTTAACTTTCACCTGTACACTCCAGTTCATGAGCGACTGTCTTGTTTCTCAGCCTATGTGTGGAAGTAACTTGGTAGCAGAGTCCATCAGTATTGATAATATAGCCCATTTTTTCTTTAATAGTCTGCATTTGAGAAATTGCCTGACACAAGGAACTTTGTGATGGTAATATTAGAATCCCAAGACTGATATTTTTCTAACCTATGAGATAAACAAGTTAAAACAAACAAGCTTATTATTACCCTTTCCATTTCATCTTTCCTGGAGTAGTGAAAGAACTTAATACTACACCATGTCAGCCCACTGAAAGCCCACAGGTGAGAGCTCATTAGTAATATGCAGTTGTTCACGTGCACTGTAAACTTCAAGCGACAACAGATGATTAACTGAAATTATTCTCTATTTTTAAATGATTTTACATAATGAATGACTGCTACTTGTGTGGATAAATTCAAGAAATGCACTACAAATTCCTCAAAAGAACAGCATTCATCATATTTGAAATTAGGTTAATCTATTAAAATACAGGAAGGTACTGTGCTCAGCATGCTGCACCATATTTAATAAGTGGGTGCAACATGTCTTCAAAGAAATGAAGTGGGGAAGAAGAGACAAGACATAATAAAAAAATCATGAATAACAACACAAGATGATATATACAATGCTTCAAGAGAGTATTTTAGAACACACCTCTTCTGGATGAAGAATTTGGTCTTCTAGTTTAGGTAAGCAGAAAGGCTTTACGGCAAAAGCCAGATTTTAGGACCACCTTGATGACTGAATAAAATTTTTAAGGAAAAAGGGAAAGGTGGAGTTAGGTCACTATAATTCATCAGAAAGGCATGAATATTTATCTTTTCCCTCTTCTGTCAAAAGTAAAGAACTTTTTATACATCCCAGATAATGATGAAAACTTTCAAGCTAATATCACAATGTGTGTCATCAAGGCATTTGGGTTTTTAAATGAGTTAAAAGACAATGGCTCAGGGTATGAAAAATCAATGCTCATCAGCATGTTTCCATTCTTGAATTGAAGTGATGAGAGGAAAAGTAAGTATAAAATCATGGCTCTGATATGCCTACCAACAATCAGAAATTATGTTGTTTATCCTGCCTTCTGTGTTGTGGAGAGTATATACACAAACATTGAAGGTGAAGGGCTGCCAGGAAGACCCAGAAAGAACAATCACCCTCACTATACAGAAATACATTCATGCTTTCAGTGGAAAAGGCACAGTACACAAAGGGATTGGGAGTGCAAAACATATCTATTCCATCTATCCGCTGCCCCCCCACCACTGATTTTCCCCATCCATCCACTCATCCATCTACCAATCCATTTCTCTTAAACTCATTCCAAATAGCTATGCATCCAACCATTTATTTGCATCACTGAATGTAGTGAATTGAGAGCCATTTCAATCAGAGAATAAAAGAAATTACCTGCCATGCAAAGCTTCCTTCATATAGGAATCAAAATGTTCCTTTAATTCTTTTTCATGATCCTCAGGTAGAAGCCAACTGATAACTTGGTATGCATTTTCCTTCTTTTCTAAATAAAAAATTTTTTAAAACACCAATAAAATATATCATTTTGGCATGATACCATAGTTGCTTTTTTTATCCTAATAATTTTATATATATCTGCATGTTTGCTTTTAGAGGGTTTTTCGGTTTTCTGCCTGCTTTTTCATTTCTTCAGTCATAGGATCTGATACTATTTATTGAGAACATTATAATAATTCAATTACTTCTATTCAATTGAATGAATGTTATAGAACTTAAATAAAAGTAAAGTTCTATTTGAAGCTTTCATTTCTTCAGTCATAGGATCTGATACTATCTATTGAGAACATTATAATAATTCAATTTCTTCTATTCAATTGAATGAATGATATAGAACTTAAATAAAAGTAAAGTTCTATTTGAAGCTTTCATGTAAAGGTATAGATATTCTTCATTTTACAGATGAGAAGACAAACATAAATGGAGTGTCAGATAATTCATCACGGTTGCACATACAGTAAGTGCTACACTTTGTATTTAAATACAGATTTAATTTTATCCCAGCTCCCCAGGCCTTTGTTTTTTAGGAAACAAGAGATTTTTTTTATTACTTACAGGTGACACATGCAAAGGTTTTTCATTCAGCCAAAAATATGGCAAAGGCTAAGTTAACAAGAGTAGTCCCCTGCAGTCCTACTTACCATTCCGACATTTCCCCCATAACTCATGTGTACTAAAGAGTCTGGCACCATTTTTGAAGTTGGACTGTTGACAGCTTTCAAGCTCCATTTCCTCCTTAACTTTCTGGGACATATCTTGGAAAAATGAGGAGAAAGCCTCAACATGACCTCCCTCGTGTGACCAAGATTTTCAGCCAAGCAAGCCAGACCCCATGAGGGGAACCTGCACCTCCATCCCACTCCGAGGCTTCCATAATTGGCATTTAGAAACAAAAGGATGGGTTTAGCCTTTGAGTGGCCCTGGTCATGTGTCTCACACAAACCTATCTTCTGTGCCAGAATCCACTTTGTTTCTGGGTTCCAGCATGAACCGTGTGATTGACACTAGGCTAGGTAGAACCGCATGACCAATGGTTGTACATCTCAAGGACTGCCCCCATTATAAACAGTGCTCTGAGTTAAGACTGATTCCAGTTTACAAGCCCACTGAATGGTGTGAGGAGGATAGCACCATGCCATCTGATGAACTCCACACTGTAAAAGGAGAAGGTGCACTAGAACCCGAGAAAATGCCTTTGCTACTGTTGCTCATGATATCTCTGTAGCTCAAAGAAAACCTTGATTAACACAGTAATAGGGAAACACTGATGACACCCTCGTGGGGTTAATTCAAGGGTTAATTCAAACTCAGCTTAATCTCAGTTCTCTGAAATCACCAGCAAGAAGGCCCTTAGCTTTGGTGATGCTAATTAGGACATTTGGAGGAAGAACTTATAAATATGAGCAGGTTAAAAGGGATACCCTCCCCCAAAGTATAAATAATGACAATGAAAGGAATGGCAAAAAATGGGAAATGTCAGCATGGGAGAGTCAGGAAAGAAATTAAAACAGAGGTCTCAGTTTTCACATATGTGGCAACTAACATTACTTTTAAAAAAATTATAACAGAGCAAGGACACAGATTGGCTTTTGTGACTTACTTCAGAGGTTCTACATTACTTTTAACATTGGATGAGATCCCCCCAATGACCAACTTTAATCATCTTAGTCAATACTGGGGAAAATAACAGATATATCATGAGAGCTCACCAAAATTTATCAAAGTACCTCTATACTGTCAGGAGGTAGAAAATATTAGATAGAGCACAGTGGTGCATGCCCTGTCTTAACTACTGGGATTAAATATCCCATAGCCATAACAGCCATTGGTTGTTATCTCACAGTAGCTATGGTTGCTCCTATATAAGAAGTCATAAAATTAATGTTTTAGTACTAACATCATGACGAAAGGGAACTCATTGGATCTGCCCAACATATTAAAAGTTTTAATACAACAAAATAGAGTTTTAATAGAGTGCCTTCAAGGATTAAATCCCTTTTTGTAAAGGATCCATTAACGAAGAAGTGATTATCCCCACTAGTTCTCCATTTAATAGACTAACTTGACTATTCTTAACCCTGAATGAATGGAGCCTCTCAGTGGATTACTGTGATCATATTATGGCCTCCATTTCCAATCTTACTGAAATTACTGACTATATCTAAAACTAATAAATTCTTTACAGTCATAGCTTTGGCAATACATTCTGTTTAATTCCTATTTCAACAAGCTCTCAGCTCTAGTGTCTCTTCACCTTCACCTTTGAAGGGTACAAGTAACTTGTAACTTGGCTTCTCATGGACTACCTCAACAGCCCTACTCGCTAGTTTTGCTGGCAAGATCTTTAACCACATTTAACTTTCTCCAGAAGCACATGTATGACAGTACTTTGAGGACAACCTCCTTTTGCAGAGATTTCTGGAGCCCATTCAGTCAATACACAAACACGCACACAGCAACTCACATAGAGGGATGTGCTGCTGCCCTACACAAAGCACAAACCATGGCACCTCAGTTAAATTCCTGGGACAAATTGCTTGTTGAGTGGAAGGTCTTTCCATCCCTGACACTGTCAAGACACACCTATTACGGCTCCATTTCCAGCATGAGAGTATAAGGAGCTTTCCTGGACATACTTTGAAAACAGCAAATGGTGAAAAATTCACACACACACACACACACACACACACACACACACACACAC